GGTGCCTGAAGATAGTATAAATCCCTACTGAAACACTAAGACCCCCTACTGCTGCAGATGGGGAGAATGGGATTAGTCACTTTCTCATAATTTTAGAAGCATTCCTTTGGTAAGCGAAGGTGCCTTGAGACTTCATGTGCTGTGGGTGACTCCATATGCTGTGGGAGAATCCCACCTTCATTTCTGGTCTCTTTGCTTGGGTTTAGTGACAGCCTCTGCTCTGCTTAATGGGATTTGCTTTTGATCTCTGAAAACCCTATCAACAGCTTAATCTGTGGAGTGATGGCACAGTCTGTCACTGTATTTTAGGGTTAGGAGGGCATTGCTATTTCCCCCACAAAGGGTCATTTTAGGACGCTGTTGTTACTGCAAGGGGAGATGCTTGGTTTGGGACCTGTCAGGTCTAATGGTGTTTCATTAGGGACACATATGGATATCTCAATTCAGCAGATACCTCGGGACTCAGTACACTGTCAGTGCAGTTTTCTCCTGGTCTGTAGAGCACAACAGTTCTTGGTGACAGGAGATGTCAGAATATGGTGTTTTGCTTTCCTTCAGTTCTGCTTGAAGGTGTGATTTGCGATGCTGCAAAGAGGTTTCTGCCCTTTAAGAGGCCCCCTGGGAAAGCAAAGTTTGCTTTTATTCCTCTGAGTAGTCTGTTTTTCAAAAGCGTGAATTTTCAGGCCTGGTTACTCTTGACCTGGGAAAAGGGAGTCGGGGGAGAAAAGAAGTCATGCAGAACACATGTTCTGCAGCATCAGCAACAGATGAGGGAGGATTTGATTTTGGCTACAGGGAAGCAGAGTCAGAACTAAGCTGTCAGTATGTTGCACACTATTTGAATGAAAAGTGTTGGCTTGGGGCACTTAACCAGAGCCAAGTTCTATTGTGATATCACTGATTCCAGATATTAAATATCATTTTATGATGGTGATTTAATAAGTTTATGTATTGTCACTGATGCCTTACATGTTTCATATACTACAGCTGAGGCCAGACCCAAAGTTGTTTAAAACAGCTGAGAAGTTCTCATGGATTCCAGGCGGTTTTAGATGTCAGACTCTGTGCTTCATTAATGCATTCTGAGGTTGGGAAGTTTTCAAAAGGTTTCAAATGTTTTATTATATCTTTATTTATTTTAGTCTGTTCCACATTTTTAATCTACATAATTGACATTATACAATCAGAATAAAATGTTCTGGAAGTAAGGTTACACAGAGCATTATAACATGGCAAGGTGCCTGTTTTTCCACAGTAACAATAATACAGAAAAGGGAGTGGTTCTGTTCAAATTCTGTTTACCTCCCTTAAATTTTGCAATGGTCTCTGTTCTCTTAGAACAGTGTTCTGAATATCTTCCTAATGCTTTGGACATGAATTCAGAATAGATAAATGTAATAAGTTGCTTTACCATCCAATCCTTTAGTAAATGTATGACACCTGAGTTTCTTGCTCCTATTGGTTTCTTTCTACAGGTTATTCCCTCCGCAATGGGTGAAAAAGAAGATGTATCAAAATTATCTGGTAGTTTTTCAGTACTAAGCTGAAACAGCACCAGCATTAATACTTTCCTAAATTTGAGAAAAAAAATAGGTTACTGAGGTAAGAACACAGAGAAAATACAGAATACTAAATACACCTATCTAAAGGAGGAGAGTGAAAGCAAATCAGTTTAAAGAGAAGATAATAACACTTGTACATTGTCTACTTAGTGCAACATCTAAAAGCCCTCATTCCCTTTGTACTGCTTCAGAACAATCAGTTATTTGGTAATACTTGCAACTTTTTATCCTGCAGTCAGCTATGGGCAGCTGTTGTGCACTGAACTTGTAAAAGATGGATAACAGAGTGCTTAAACCCCAACACAGGGCTACAGTTTTCTTTTATGAAGAAGAAAGAAAGAAGAGGAACCAGCACCTAATCCTTTTCCTTGTGATAAAGTCTCTGGAGGAAGAACTCATGCACTAGATTTGCCAAGATTGGCAACCACTTTTTTGCTGAAATACAATGGCATTTCACAATCCCAGCTGAGAACTGTCCACAGGAGAATAGGCATAATTACGATGCTCATTCATATGATCAAGGAATGTCGTATGCCATGTCTGCTCATCACAAACAGATTAGCTTTAATTTTCTAGTCTGGATGACTGCACAGGTTACTCGACATTATCTTTGGTTTGCTAATCCTCAAAGAATTTATTTCTTTTTTGATGTTATTGCCATGGAAACTGGCTAAATTGCAGATCCAGATTACATCTTTACTGTTCGCTCACTTTCATTTTGGTCTGCAGACTTCCTTTAGGTGCTAGAAAGATGCAAAGAACAAATCAATATTGTTCCTTGAAACACAGAGTCACTCCCTGTGCTCTCCAGCCTTCACTATGTGGGTGTAGCCACTTGTGTTCTGTCTCTTAGGGCAAGAGACCGGAAACTTGAAGGTCTGCTACCTGCAGCCTCATTTTCTGGGATAACATTGCTCAGCCAAGCTTGAGAGGACAACTCAGCAGATTGCTTTCTTATCTATTTCTCAAGACTTTGCAAGTATGCACACAGTGATGCAGAGAGAACAGTTACCATTTGGAGCACAAATCTAGAAAATGTTTTGCAGATGCATTAAACTATTGAAAACAGGTATAATCAGGAGTCAAGGAGAATTGCTATCAAAAGTGTCAAGAGTGATGAAGGCTCTATGTCAGAATCCAGATAATGAAGTACTTAAGGGAAGAACATATCTCTACTATATGTCTGCATGGAACAAATGATGGCACGAACCATAGGCGTTACTGTTCTCATGTTTTTGGGATTTGAGTGCTGTCTTGAGCGTGGGAGATCTCTAAATTTATTTTGTTTAGGCATTCATCTAGGTACCAGGTAAACAGGCCCTCTCTTGTGACCTGAATGGATTCTTAGAGGTGAAACGTAGAGACTACACCTCTTTAGAGACCTGTTGCAAGCTCTTGTTTTAATCAAATTATAATGGAGTTCCTTCTGATGAAATGGCCTTTTTCCCTTGGGAAATTTTGTATGTTTGAAAGTGAATGTTGGGGGGAAGAAATTGAAATGAGTTACATATATTTTCTTTTAAGTGTTTGGAAAACCTGGATATGCATGTATAAGTAGCCCCTAGGCAGCAATAAGATTAGAAACTGGCACTTACATATCAAGTCCTAACATATGCTACCAACCTTGGTGACATTACAAGCATAATCTTCACACAGATAGCATTTTTTAGGGGATCTATAATTCATTAGTCACTGATGCCTTTGCCTTGCATCAGGCATTCAGATCTTATGTCCACTTTCCACTGTACTTGCACTGCAGTCAAGTTACAAGGAAAAATCTGTTCTTTATTGTTGTATTATTTTGTCTCTGAACCTTTTGTAATACAGTTTCATTTTGGAGGAGTCTTTCTCTATCAGTGGGAAATCTTTTATCCCAATAGACATCACTATGGATCATAAGAAGTTGAGGGAAATAAGTGCCCTTATGTTGCATGAGAAAGCAGCTTTGCATGACAGTTTTTCATTCTGTTTGTATGCAAAGGATGTTGAGATTGCTTCTCTTTCACTCTGACATGACAGAGTGCAACACATGCCCTTGTCTGTCTCTCCAGAGAGTGAGTTAACACTGGTAATAGAATGGGTGAGTTTACTAAGAATGGGAGGTAGAATAATTATTTGGCTTTAAGAGATCTATTCCTAACCTATTTCAATAACTTGTTACTTTATATGAGTGCTTCATTGGCAGAGGTTGCTGTTGTTGCAGAAAAACTTGTGTAAATGGAGCATGGCTGGTTATATGGTTGATTTTGGCTGAACCTGGTAATATTATGTTCTCTGTATCCTCAAAATTTGTATTCAGAAGAAATGAGAGGAGCTTTTAATTTTGTCAGCTATCATTATCCAGTGTGTTTGCATGATTCGCCTGCTTTAGTGAAGGAGGACTTTGCTTTAGCCTCTGCTAGTGAGAGCAGTGCATAATCTAGTGTTCATACTACAGGAAAAGGTGCTCAGGAGCCAAACGTGTGTTCCTGATTCTGTCATGGATTCTGGCAGTTTTCTTGCATTTAAAATGTGGCTTCCTGAGGGTGGAAAAACTAAATAAAATTAGGAGCCAGGGAATGAGCAGGCACTTTGAAAATGTTGGCCTCGATGTGTCAATTTTTGCATTTCTAAATTGGAGGATTATAAGTATTTCATGGGACTCTGGAAAGGCTCTGTGAGTGTTTGCAAAGTGTTTTAGAGCTGTTAGTAGGGCAAGTTTCACTGCAATGCAAGGAGCAACGTCTTCAGATCACACCTCTGGAGCATTCGTACAATTGGTGACAGCCTCATATGACAGCAGTCCATTAAGAGACTGTCATAGATCTGATTTTCCCAGATGTATCATTCCCATCTTCCCCGGGAATTTTATCTGGAGGAAAAGAAGAAGAATTTGTTTGTTTGTCCCAGATGCCCCCAAAGTATGTCAGAGCTGCTGTTCAATGTTCCATTTGTTGTCATATGCATTATGTGACGTTCATGCCCAGAGCACTGTTGCACAGGATGGCTGACTGTCCATGTCAGGGGGTTGTGAAGGGATAGACTCTTCAGTGGAGTTCATGGCAAGTGCTCAGTCTACCTTATAAAAAAAAACATAAATAAATTGTGCCTGCAGATTTACAGGTTATTGTGATGGCATCAACAATAGTTAAAGAGTTAGAAATCTTTCAGGAAAAGGAAAAAACCCAACTCCATGTTTAATTAATCAATATCTGACAGAAAATCCAGCTTCTTCCCTTTTTTTACCAATAATATGTAATTTTGATAAGTTGCCTGCCCTGTCACAATTTGACATACAAACCTTGTTTGACATATGGTGGCTGTTGCTTGCACTTGGAAGTTGAATGTACTACATAGACCATGTAACTAATGAGATGGGGCTTTGTTCATCCTTTCAGTTAATTTTGTGTGTTCTTTTTTTCCCTCCCCTTCGTGCTGCACGGCTGATTACCACCCTAGGACCTTGCAATGGGACACAGACCCCTCAGTGCTGCAACTCCAGTCTGACTCTGAACTTGGGTATATGTCAGCTCTTTTTGTTATTAGTTGATTATTTCTTTGCAAGATTTATGTTGAAAATGCTTCCTAGTTGAGCTGGTTGTGTGTGTGATTTTTATTTGCTTTGTCAATTCAAAAAGACTGTAGTTTAAGTTTTCTTTTTTTAGTTTCATAAATAAGAAGCCTCAGCAAAGCCATTGTTGTAGAAAAAAAACCCAACTATTTAAATAATCTCATGAAAAGTTGCTATTTCTGTTGCCTGAAACACAATACAAATAACTATTTCATTACAGATGAAATGTTATCATTGTGGCACATATATGCATGTACGGTTACATTGATCTTGTTTGTACCTGTTGATTCAGACTGTTCTCTCTGAATCATTTGCAAGGTACTTTGCCCCCTCCTTTCTGTCTGCTATAGTTATGCTGTTTCCACATGCAGTAACAATTTCCCCTTTTTCATTAGGTGTTGTGTATGTGCTTATAATTGTGCACTTAAATATGATCATAATACAAGAGTAATTGCCATCTTAGTTGAGCTCAGGCCAATCAAGGTTCTTTTAAATTGTACTAGAGCTAAAATAAATATTTTCTAGTTTGGGATGGAACTTCTTTACCGCAAGCATGTGAAAAAAAAATAATTAATTTAAATAATTTAGAAATGCTTACCTGCAGAGATATTTAGGATAAACTGTTTCTCTAAAAGCATAGGTAGCAGTACTTCAAGTTCTTCAGAGCTTGAGTCATAGGCAAAACCAAATCACTGTCTTGAAAAATTTGCTCTACCTATGAACTTACAGTCTTTCCTGTCTGAGTGTCTAGGCAAGTGTCTTGTGCTTTTACTAGTTTGTGTGCTAGTTCATTCACCATTCTATAAGAAAACCAACAATTTCCTTTAACTGCTGATTGACAGTGCTCCCACCTGCAGTTAGGGATGTTAGGGCTATTCTCCAGGAGAGATCAGAAGGAGAGTATCCAGAAAGCTTTCGAAACAGGGTTTCTCCATATCCAGAACTGCTAGGAATGTTTACAGTCTTCACATGACTATGGCTTCAAATAGGTCCACCTTCTATAACTTTACCTGGGTTGTACCAAAAAGGTAAAGTTTTTTGAGCTGTTTTAACATACAGAAACCCTTTAGGAATCTCAGCCGGGTTTTTTTTGCAGAAGTTTGGGTTAAAAGATGAACATTCCTAGAAGCAAAGTTCCTCAAACAGTTGTGCAAGGCAAGTCCCTTTATTTGACTCATGAAAAGATAACGCTATATATAGCTATGAGACTTCAATCATTTATGAGCACTGAGTGCAAAGGCAAGAAAGAAGCATGCCAAAGAGCAAATCCATAGATATACACTCTAATGGAAGTTCTGCCCCTTTTGAAAGAAAAATGTCTTCAAAACCAAAGCAGAGTTAAACTTTCCTCTAGTGTCACAAGACTAGATAAAAAACCTCCAAAATCCAATGCAAAAGAAATTCTGCAGTCAGCAAATACATGATGTGTGTAGCAAAACACTTCTAGCCGATACATCTTTCTTCTGGTACCCATAGACAGAGGAACCAATGTTATTGAATGGACTTTAGTTACTGTCCTTCTACTCACATCCCATTGGCAGTTTTGAAAGGAATCCTTCAAAGCTTAAGTGCTCTCCAAGATGAATATTCAGGCAATATATAAGAATTATGAGCAGCTTCGATGAAAAATGAGGATAGGAAAACAATAGACAGTTTAGTGTTGCCCTAAAAAGAACTAGAGACTAGAACATTACAGTTCATATTTGATAGAGTCCAGATACTGAAAGGATGCACCAATTGTCTCTAAGTGCTTGGGATCAAGGGCTAGGCCAACTTTTAGTTACACAAGAACAATTACAGGTTGCTTTACAGGGGCAAAAAATAATCAGGAGATCATGTTACTTCAGATGAAGAATGACCTCCCTATCTTCACCAGTAATTACTAGACTATGGGTGGCACAAGGCATTTGTACAGGCAGCAGCAATGTCTGAATTGTAAATGTTTTAGGTGAAAAATTCTACACGTTGTCTCAGCAGAGTGCTCTGGGATTTAGTTCACTTCTTGGATAGCAGGGTACAAAGAGATTAAACCAACTAGCTGTTCAATCCAGCTAGCTGTTCCCCCTCCTCATGTGAGGAGATACGGAATGACCTCATGTGAAACTGTTGTTAGAATTAGGTGAGGTTCTAATTAGGTCCATATTAGACACATAATTATTTAGGGATTACACTTAACCAAGACCACTGTCAAGAGACTTTCAATGCAGGAGGCTTAAGAATCTCGGTAAATGAAAAGAGTAGCCTGGAGCAGCAGGGGACTGGTTGCATAGGAAAGCCTAACTGACCAAGTTAGATTGCACATCTGGTGTTAAAGAAGAGAAAAACACGTCAGATACTGCTGATATTTATTAAAGCTTGAATTCACACAGACCCTCAGTTAAAGTAGTTACAAAAATGTAAAACTACTAAAACTTTTGTTACCTGGAGAAGCATTTCTGCCCCCAGTAACAACATAGAAGTTTTTCTGTAAAACTTTCTGGCAATTGTTCACATTGGCAAAGTCACAGATGGTTGTAAGGAGGGAGACTTGTTAATTTTTCATCTTAGAAAAGAGCTCAGAGCCTTAACAACTGTTTCTGCTCTAGTGGTTTGTTATGCGATACAGCTGATTGGTACTGATGGATCTAATTGCATTCAGCTTAATAACAACTCATCCAGTAAGATAGAACAGAAAAATATATAGCTGATGTAACGTTAACCACCTGAAAAGTTCAGTAGGTGTTATCCAATGATGAGAGTTTCTTTTTGAGACTTCCATTTCCTTTCAGGTATCAATCTTAATTGAATACCGACACCATTGTAAATTAATTAGATAAAAACCCCTTTGACTTCTGTTCTTCTAACAGTCTGGAAAATGAAGAGGATATGGCTAATGTGTATGAATTTTCTGCTTTTCAAAGTCATTCTCTCTAATAACATGACAGTTGAGAAACATTGTGTCCATGAATTTATTTCCCATAAATGCACAAATGTGCTCGCATTTGCGGATTTAGGCAACTGGACTTACTTAGTTGATTTGTTTATTATGCTTGCATTCTTTTCTCTGCCGAAAATTGACATATTTTCCAAACACTTGCAAGTAATCATTTGTATATTCTTCACTTCCTGCAAACAGGAAAATAGTATTCAGGAAATAAACTTATTTCCCCCCACACACACTGTTGAATGAACTGTGTACGACAAAGTATTCATGGCCATGTTCAGCTATCTCTCTTCTCTTTCCCTTACCCACTTACAGTTGGTTTCACTGATTTATTTCATACAGTTTATTTAAAGTAAGGGAAGTAGTCAAAAAAGAAGGCTATTCTTGCCCTGTTCCAGTTGTGTTTTAGCTCTCCTCCAGCCCTTGAATTAGGACTTTATTAATCATAAACCTACATCAATTCCACTACTAATGACTCCTGTGGAAGGGAGAATCTCCTTTATGGAAATCACCCAACTTGACAATTAAAAGCTCTATTATTGCTCTCAGCTGAACATCTGACAGTCCTAATCTGGTGTGGTTTACACCCTCTGTGCCCTTTCCATTATTGTGTTTCCCAGGCTGAGGATGAACTCTTTTGAGCAGGCAGAATGTTGTAGTAATGATGGCATGAAAGAGAATTTTGTTGCATGCTAAGAAGGGCACAAGCAGGTCATTTCTCACTCCCATTTACAGTCCCTCTCAGCAGCATGATCTAGAGGTTCAGTAACTGTACTTTATTATGGCAAATGGTTCTCAGGTTAATTTTTTTCACTGCAATTAGGTACTTCTTATGCATACTGTATTGTGTTTCATCTTAACAAACACTGAAGTATTTTTTCATCCTGTTCATAAAAGCAAACACTTTTGTTCCTGCTGCTGATTTACATTTAATATGACTAACCTTTTGATGTCATGTATTCCACCTTAGACGCAGACTGCACAAACTAGGGGTGTCAAAGATTACCCAGGTTGATTTCTTACCTCGGGAGGTGGTGTCATACTCCAAGGAGACGCAGACACCTCTTGCCACACATCAATCTGAAGGTAAGATATTTTTTTCTCAAAAAACATTTTCATAGGAAGTTAGTATTTGAGTGAGAGTTAAAGAATGTAACAAAACTAATAGTAAATCATAACGTACCTGTTTATCATGTGTTTTCTGCAAGCCAGGTATTGTTTATGAGATTAATGGCTGTTCTGGTGAAAATAATTATAATAATGACTTTAAATGCAGGTGGAACCAAACTGCTTCTGACTTACAATAGGTTGTGCTTAGATAGCAGTTTAATGGGAACATATTTTCAAATAAATAATTATGAATATAATTAAAATAGTGCTTTATTCAGGTTTTTTTTGCTTTCTCAAGGAAGTTATTCATTCCATGCTTTGTAAAGAGGCAGTCTTGGAAAGTTGCCCTCAGTTGTTTGGTCAGTGTCTCCCTGCCATAGGTGAGCTTAGGAGAAGCTGCAGCTTATCTCCATGTACTGAAAAATGTGGTTTGCATACTTTGATATGGATGGTCCTACTTTCCCCCTGGTGACATCATGCTGAAATATGTCCTCCTGGAGGTGTTTGTTAGCTGTTTGACTTTCTTGTTGATAAGTAAATACATGGAGTAGGTAGGGAAGTGCTGATCTATCTGTTCCATAGATTACACACTTGCCAGCTTTGTACTGCAAAATGCTGATTGCAGGTCAGTGTGGTACCATTTAAACTGAATTCAAAACTGTGCCTTAGCCTGTGATCTACATGCTATTACAAAGCGGGTAGAAGAAGAAAAACTGATGACAGTCTTGACTGTAATTTTTGCTGTTGACAATGAAGGACAAAGAAAAGTTCAACAACTGGGTGCTTTTTGCAGCAGATAGTGTAAAACTTCACCAGGCTCCCTGCAGAGAAGAAAAATACTCAAGTAGGTTCAGAAGGTGGTGCTAGTGGTAAATCTCTCTAAATATAAGTTACTGTCAGGAAAGATAGAGTGATAAACATAGCCAGATTTTTTTCTGCAACTGGGTTACCAGGTCTGCCTTAGGAACCAGAAATGGAAACTGCTGAGCCAGATGCTCAGATTCTCCTTTCCTGGACCACAAGTGTACCCTGGTTATCTGTGAACTTAAACAGTCCTTCAAACATAGACAACCCTGTTGCTTGGATGATACTCTCCTTGAGCAGCATGTCCAGAGAGCTTTTCCCGCTCATAAGGAGAGGCTGTCTCAGAATCAATCCAGCCTCAATCCAGCTCATCTCTCCTTGTCTCTCTGCTGGCTGCTGAAGCCTTGAGAAGATGGGGATTGCCCCTGAGTCCTTGGTGCTCAACCCTGGATCATTATCATGCAGTTGTCTTTAGGTCAGATGGAAAGGGTGCCTTTCCTCCCTGACACAGGGCCTTTATCCAATGGAAGAACCTATGGATATGGGGAATTTAAGACATTTAAGACATGGCTTTGGTGTGTTTGCCTCCCTCAGACCTCGAACTCCTCACTAGCTGACCTGCCTTTCTGAACAGACCAATCTCTCTTGAGGAAGCATCTTCTTCCAGTAAGATATTCTTGCTTTTATTTGTCAAGGAGCTCTTCAACTATTACAAAATCCTTTTCTTGGCTAGACAAGAGGACAATCTCCTACTCTTCAAAGAAAAAAAACCCCAAACAGCAGTGTGATGCAGTGGAGCCTGGCAGTCAGGACAGTAAGCAGAGAGGGCAGTGTCATTTGTCTTGGTCCTACCAGCACAAAGGAAGCTCACTTATTCCTCATATGTATGAAAGAAAAGTGCAAACATAAGAAGTCATGGACTTTAAACTGCCTAGGCCAAAACTGTGATGGAAGAGATCAAATGGGGATACATGGTTTTGGTGACTGGATTTGTTATCTTTTATATTTTCTGTGTCATCACAGCCAAGGAAAAGCATCAACAATAGTGAGGTTTTTTGCATATTTAAACACAGAGAAAATATCACCCAATCACTGCACTCAGATGCATGATGGAGAGAAAGTCTAACATATTTCCTTTCAAATCTGCTGCTAGGGACTTTTCGGCACATGGCTTGGATGTGAGTATGGCTGTGCACCAGTGAGAGTCAGGAAAGTTTGGTTATTCCATTGAAAGGGTATTTAATTGGAAACTGTCTAGGGGGTAAATAAGCACTGTGATTTTGGTCTCCTGGGTCTGATGGAAATGAATTCTCATGTTTTCAATTTCCCAAGCCTCTTTATAAATGTTGAGCCCTTCATACTGTTACTCTAGACATCAACAGCAAACAGAGGGGAATTCCTTGGGAAAGCAGTTTTTAGAAGTCTCTACACTGTTTCTATGCATTCGTGTGATAAAATATAGCCATTATCTTTACAAGATAAATTGCTGGGCCATTACTATGGTTATGGGCTCAGTTATTCAGCATCTGAAGCCTTAGAGTTTGAGAATAGAAAATAAGAAACTTCTTATTTACTTAGATGAGTCTGACTTCAGCTTTCAGAATTCACTCTTTCTCTACCTGCCTTGAATACTGGAAATGTCAAAATGCAGAATTTTAGGATGAAATTGTCATGTGCTTGCTTCTTGTTTGGAAGACAACTAATAAAGGGTACAGCTGGTTGGAAAGATGGGTGAAAGAGGATTTTGAGAGTCCATTCAAAGTTCTTTAGCTTTTTTGAAATGTCAGTATCACATTTTCTGCATATTGCTTCTCCAGAGAGAAAGAAAGAAACTCTGAGATACTTTAAACCAACTGCTGTTCTGGAGCTCAGTGGATGTAGGCCTTTGTAGTAATGGCTATTGGCCACCAAACCTTATAAAACTGGTAAAGGTAGGGTTCACTCTGGTAAGTGCATGTGGTGCCAGAAAGCCAGATGCTATATGCAGTGAAGTCTCAGCTTTTCAGCTGCTAATTTTAGAAGAAATAATGTGGCATTATTCTTCACTGTATAAAAACAGATTAACTCCTCTTTTCAGAACAGGTAATTTGCTTTATTTCAGAGGAATAATGACATGTCATTTCTCCCAATGACTCTATTATTTAGGGGCATGTGTATATGCATCATTCAACCCTTTGATCACAAGCACCTAATTCTTTCGTTTTATTTAGGTCACAGTAAGCTTCAGCCTTTTCTTTTCTTCCTTGCAGGATGACTTCAAAAACATACAGATCTTGGCTCTGAACCCTGAGAAAAAACATGCTCTTTACTTTTCCCCTCCTTCTTCTATAATTGAACTTGAATTTAGGTATTTGTAGGCATTGAGAGACACTTCACTTGTGTTGCTTTTTCCATTCTGGAGTTGATTAAAACCTAGACTATGCCAAATGTTTTCTGAGAGGTCTCTGGGACATGTTCCTTCACTGTGCAGAGACGCTCACATCACCCTGGAGTGGCAACCCCATGTAGCCTTCGATGGCTGGACCCTCCAAAGCACTGCAGACCTGCTGTTTCCTGACGGCATCCCTAGAAGAAAGCAGCAACAGAAAAGCCATGGCCTGGCCTCTGTCCAAGGATGAATCCCTCACTGCCATACAGCAGTGGAAGGAGATCTGTATGTCTGCCTGCAAATCAGCTTTTCAGATAGGAAAGCAGTCTGCACATTCAAGCTCTACTAGATGCCTGCTTCAGCTCCATCTTACTGTTCTGCTCTTTAATGGGCCAGGAGGTAAAATCTCAGTGAGAAAAACATCATGCTGTCCCTGCACAGAGAAGGGAGGTAATCCTCTGATCTGGCTCCCCTCAGAAACTGGAAGGCAAGCAAGGTGGTGAAGGTCTGTGAGCTCTCTGGCTTTGCTGGCCAGTGTCAGGAGTGTTGTTATTTCTCTTTTGTGAGGCAGAAACTCCTTCATCAATAAAATGAGGTGTTCTCACGTTCTGGCTTGCCAGACTGTCACTGGAAATAGGCTAATCAGAAATGCATTTCTGAAAAAGTAGGTCCTGTGTATAAAAGGAGATCTGACTTTCTAGAACAATGGATGTCCTAGGTACTTCATCTGTTTACCATCTTCGACAGATGTTTGTTCATGTGGGGAAAACAAATGATGTGCCATACTCTCCTCCTAAGCAGGATAACTTCATTCTGTATCACAAATGTAGCCCAGTTCTGGCAAGGAGTAGAACTGAGACCTGTGATCCATCTGTTTATCTGCCATATTCAAACACTGAGGATATTTTGAAAGAGGAAAAATAAGCTCTCTCCTGCATCTGGAAGTAGACTGGAATTAAGTGGCAAAATGGAGGTGGAACTGCAGAGGCTGGGTTGGGTTCTGCATGTCTCTGACAGGGTAATTCTCTGAATTAAAGTTCCTGAAAGTTATCCTTTTTAATGCACTGAGGGAGGAGTGGGGAATTCTGCTCACAGTCAGGCTCATGAGACCAAGACATGAGTTTGGGTGCATGAGACCAAATCTAAGTGCCTGCTGTAGGGTGAGCCCAAACTCTCTAGGTGCCACTGATCACATTGACTAGTTCTTCACTGACTAGCTTGATAACAGAGCACTTCATGTGGGCATATTAATGTAGATTTCTCATTATTGAGTAAAATGCGCGTGACTTAAAGAGTCATGCATTGATATTGTGTGAGGGCTGTGTTCTACTTTGAATTTTAGTAATTGAATGATCTGTGTCTAGGACTGACAAGCCCCAGTGCTGTGCAAGCAAGTCAGGCCTCTGTAATTTTATCATTTCCATTATAAAATCCATAGATAAAGCTATTTATACTTTCATTGTTAGGGTCTGAGACTTCCGAGTTCAATCAGTGTGGGGATCTGTGCAGCAGAGTTCTAGCACATCAAATTTTGCACCAATCCTTTTGTGTCTTCCTGTAACTCAGTTTTGTGAATGTATGCTGTACTTAAGAAAATCCAGTCCCAGAACTAGTCATACTTGAGTTTTCCCATGCCCAATCTGGCTAGAGCTCATGGATCAGAAGCTGGGGTTTAAGCTAAAGAGCTTACTTTGGCTTTTTCCTTCCTGAGAATCTTAAGCTCAGCTCCAGTCTGAAGAGGACAAGTCTGGACCCAAGAATAGCTTTGAACCCCTCATTTAGTGGGAAATACAGATGTACATTT